CATAGCATTGGGGTATATTATAGCTCAAACGAATGCTCAAGGTCTCTGTTACATGCATGAATCCTTACTTATACGAAAATATGCAAACGTAAGCCAAAAACATATTAAATCGACCCCTAACCTCAATTCGGATAGCCAGACGCCAATATTGACCATACCAACCCCGGATCTTTTTTCCTTAGGGACCAATTTGAGCATATTATAGATCTATACAAGGTGTCATTTTCATTGTGAAAGCCTTGGTTAACTTTAAGATGTGTTTTCCCACATAAATAGGTGCTTCATTAAGCAGAAAACACGATAAACCAACATCAAAGCCTAAAAAACCAACATAAAGACAATTACTCAAAAGATTGAAAATCTTCCCCCAGCACCGCCCAGGCTTCCAATTGGAGTATTTTTTTAGCTCAAACGAATGCTCAAGGTGTCTGCTACATGCCTAAATCTTTACTTATACTTAAATATGTGAACGTAAGCCAAAAACATATTTAACCGACCCCTACCCCTAATTTGGATAGCCAGACGCCAATATTGACCATACAAAACCCGGATCTTTTTTTACCCTAGGAATTAAACTGAGCATATTATAGATCTATACAAGGTGTCATTTTCATTATAAATGCCTTGGCTAACTTTAAGATGTGTTTTCCTACATAAATATGTGCTTCATTAAGCAGAAAACATGATAAAACAACATCAAAGCCCAGAAAACGAACATAAAGGCAATTACTCAAAAGAGTAAAAATCTTCCCCTAGCACCGCCCAGGCATAGCATTGGAATATTATAGCTCAAACGAATGCTCAAGGTCTCTGCTACATGCATGAATCCTTACTTATACGAAAATATGCAAACGTAAGCCAAAAACATATTAAATCGACCCCTAACCTCAATTCGGATAGCCAGACGCCAATATTGACCATAACAACCCCGGATCTTTTTTCCTTAGGGACAAATCTGAGCATACTTTAGGTCTATACAAGGTGTCATTTTCATTAAGAAAGCCTTGGCTAACTTTAAGATGTGTTTTTCTACGTAAATAAGTGCTTCATTAAGCAGAAAACACGACTTTATTCTAAAAAATTTTTACATCATTTTTCTCTATGCTTTTTTTATTTTGCCCATTATTTTCTATTCTGTATATCTTAGCACACTATTATTCTCTATTCTTATTTTTTTGTTTATTTTTGTCTATTCTTTATTTTTAGCCCTTTACTTTTGCACTGTTTGCCCATTATTCTGTATTCTTCAAACCACATCTGGACCCTTTACTATTAAATATATTCTCTGCTTATTCTTTTTTTTTTTGTTGCAAAAAACAAAAAGAAAAAGAAAAATCCCTCAGCCTTCACATATTGAATCTGATTTTACTGCACTTTGAAGAGCAATAAAGTGTAACACAGTTCATTAGACACATATATGAAAGTCCCTTTCCACGATCAACATGCTGAATCGGTAGCACCGCCTCCTCCAAAATTGATCAAATTGTCAAGCATATGTTCTGTTTGTGTTTCTAGAAGTTTATTTGCATTTCTTTGCTTGTTCGTAAACTTTCATCCCCTTTGTTTTACAGCAAATTACATGATCTGTTGGTATTATTACTTTCAATTTAAAATACTTATTTGTTTGTGAGTTTATGTGATTTAACACAGTAAAATATGATATCACCAGAAAAAAACTGTTCACTTATAAATAGACAGGAAATGAAAACTGTCAACTTAAACCATAAAGATGTTATACATACGATTTATTTGTCTGTATTTGATTTATTTTTACCAAACAGAGAATCTTTCTTTTATTGATAATCCCTGATAACATTCCAGGGATTATGTAAAATAATTCTTAAAATTTTCAGTGATTATGTAAAATCACTGGTAATTTTCAGGGATTATATATAAACAGTAGTGATTTTAGTGATTATGCAGAATCCCTGAAAAATCAGGAAATCTACATAATCCCTGATAATACAAATTCACTGTAACATATATATGTTGTCAAGAAGAAAATTCAAAGCTTTTAATCATCTCGTCACAGTTTAGGAAGTATATGTAATAGAAAAACGAAGGATATGGGGTATCCATCTATGACACAAAATAAGTACATGCACAAAAAAGCAAAGGAATAGCACTTTTATTGCTGTTCTTTAACTCAAAGTCACAATAAGAACTTCAATAAGGAGCAAAAAAAAAAAAAAACGCTTTCACCTCACTGCAAGTTTCAGGCGATCCGGCCCCTAGCACCGGTTTGAGCGGAATTCTTTGTAAAATAATTCTGGTAGACTTTTTTAAATGTTACACCAACAAATCGGGCCTGGTAAAAAAAAATACAAAAGGGATTGGACACAAGTTATAACATTAGTGACTCCCTGCCTAACTTCCGAAACCCCTCTAATGGACATTGCGGCACAATCGATAAGTTATATCTGTATTCAAGGAAGAAGGATTGCAGAGGTCCTTTTAAAAATCAAATTATCCAATGTATAGTATTATAATTTTATATGTGTTTTGGTATTCAGGTCCTCCATACATTAAAAAACGGAATTAATGTTGAAAATAATTAAGGAAACCGGTTAATTTATCCTTCGAAACTAAATAAATAAATAAAGATGAAAATTAAAAAGACTGTTTTGATTTTTTGTTTCTTATATTAATTTGAATATATGTAAATTGACATAAAAATGGCGAATTCAGCAATACGGGATAGAGTCACATTAAAAAAAAAAAATGGTCTATTTCTTTATTCACTTTTCAGCTTGAATGCTGAAATATTAACTATTGCACTATTAATTATTCATAACTACACGTTGAATAATGACTAATGAACTATTTCATTATTAATTATTGAATTTTGAAAAATGAAAAATGAATAATGGACGTACTTCAGCGCGGTCACAGAAAGCGTGACTTTCTACGGAATCTATCTTGCATATCAAGATCATTGTAATTATTACGATTTTTCTAAAATAACTATTTCTATATATTTGTTTACTGTACCGTTCGTCGATCTTTTCCTTTACGTTCTTTGTGCATTTTCTTAATCATTTGGTACCGTTCTTTGGTCAAAACATCAATAAGAACAAATGTTGTCTGTATTGAAATACCCATAAATGAGTAAATAAAATCTACCACATGCTCGTCAAGGAATCGAACTCAGCAGATGATCATTAATTTTGATATTCGAGGGAGGGCAGGAGGGCAGGACAATTTTTTGCGGATTTACTCTTCATTTTCATTTGTTACTATTTATGCCATATAAAAATAAGAAATTGTGGTATGATTACCAATGAGACAACTCTTCACAAGAGCCCAAATGCCACAGAAATTAACAACTATAGGTCGCCGTACGGCTGTCAACAATGAGTAATACCCATATCGCATAGTCAGCTATAAAAGGCCCCGAATTGACAAATGTAAGTCAATCCAAACGAGAAAACTAACGGCCTGATTAATGTACAAAATTATGACCGAAAAACAGATATGATATACAGCAATAAACAACAACCACTGTATTACAGACATAATGTGGCGGGGTTAAACTAGTTTGTTGGCGCCAACCCTCCCTTAACCTTCGTCAGTGGTGTGACGGCACAACACAAGAACGAACAATAAACGAAAAACAAATATGAAAAAACAGCAAAAAAACGACAACCACTCAGTTACAGGCTCCTGACTTGGAATAGACACATATAGAATGTGGTGGGGTTAAACTAGTTGAATCTGCCAGCCCTCCCCTAACCCGGGCCTGTGGTGTAACAGTACAACATAATATGAAACTATAAAATCAGTTGAAAAGGACTGAACTCATCAGATGGATACAAAGCAGAAATACATCTAACAAAAACACAGAGTCGACGTGGCAGGGTACTTATACATCCCAACAACAAAAAAACACTAAGTACATATCTGTGAGTACTCGCAGTTACCGACAGCTAGTTCAAAGCCAATAACAACTAATAAAAAAAATCATGCATCTAAGACTAAAATATCAATCAGTACACATCCATCATTCAATGGATTTAGTTTAAAGACGTCATTAACAGTCAGAGAAAAACACGACCTTGTGCAATGCCAAAATATAGGTATCGACAGATTGTAGTACCGTGAAAGAACATATGTGTATAACAGTAATATTTAGTATGGTTTTAATTTACTGATAACAAAGTCAATATTTATACCTGGTCCAATAAAAACAATATTCAAAGATTTAATGACAGTGTTGAATTGGTAACCTTTTACCAGTAATACATAGATTACGTTCATTAAAATCGTCACAACAGACACGGGGATAGCGAACGAGTTGTGATATATGAACACCGAAAGATGGTACAAAAGGATCATCGCCTTCCAAAAGAGAAAAATAACAGCTTTTAATCAATCATCTCATCACACCTCCAGTAAGTATATCTAGCATATTTACCTTTCTCATTAGAGAAGAAGGCTTTAAATGAGTTGCAGTAAATATATTTGCATTCAGATTTACCAAACGACCATTTAATTAAATAGGAAAACTTTTGTTTTGATAAGATTGTGTGGAAGTGTAGTGTAAAGAGTTGACAAGTCAAAACTGTCAACAGAATCAAAAGGACCACCAAAAGCACGTTATTTATATATAGAACATCCAAAGAATTTTTTACACTCCAAAAATATTTAATTCTACTATTTTCAAATGTTTTATTACAAAAGTTAATGATAAGTTCTTTGATACTACTTAAGGAAGTAGTTAAAAGCACTGAAAGATAAGTTTTAGAACACTTACTAGAGGCCGATATGAAACGATAATTTACAAATGTTCAGCAGAGGTCTTAAGTTGTGCATAGGATTACTGTATTAAACGTTAACCACTGAGGGTACGGACAGATTCTATATAAAGACTGTATATAGGAGTACTATATTGTACGTTAACCACTGAGGGTATGTATGGACAAATACGATAAAATATGTACGTGGCCCAATGATGAGCTGAATAACCAAAAGACTTCATCATGAAGAAATGACTATGCCAGTGAAAAAGAAGCATTTATCTTTTATAAATTTGTAAACAATATATGGTCTTGTTAATCTTGATACTATTGTTATTGATAAGGTATCATCTGTTTCAATCCTCGATATATTTTGTTTTATTAAGAAATAACAATTAATATGTGTTATTCTGAGAACTAACCGTCAATAATAAATAGGTCCCTTTCTTCTGATCAAAATTTTCGATTATTGTCTCATTATTTGATTTATAAGTGAATTTAATTTACTGTTTAGATAATATAATGGACCAAACCCAGTTTCGGGACCTATTTATTACACGGTGTCCCTTCATCAGTGGCCCCCGTGGGATCTTTGCTATTTATCAGCCGGACTGTACTAAGCTGCCTCCGACCAGGAGTTTTATCATTTTCGCAATCAATATCGAGGCTTATGTCCTTGTCTTTCCCTGTAAGAAAAATGTACGTCTTAGAATTGACGGGTGTTTGTATTTACTTATTGTTAAATACATTTTGTGTCAATGTTTTAAAAAAAAAACCAAAGTAGATAAACATAACAATGTCTAGATATTCAAAAGTCTTTTGAAAAGCGCAAGTCAAGATATGCATATTTCCTTTCTCCATTTAAACTGTATACCTGCCTACAAAATAATTTTCATTTACCTGTGTATAATATTATTGTAAGTGGCGGATTTTTGTTCTATGTTATTGTTGTTTTTCTGAAATTGTTTAACATTTCAAAGCGGTATAATACTGGAACTTTAATTATGCATCCCTTATTTTATTGATTTTGTATTTACATTGTATCATAGATTAAATTTACTCGTTCAGTGTATGTTCACTTGTGTTAATATGTCTTTTGATTGAGTTAAGCCATTTCTATTGATATTTTATAGTGTGTCTTTCTATGTTGTGATGTTACACAATTGTTTCAGATAAGGATGAAGGTTTGGTACCATTAAAACGTTTAAACCCGCTGCAATTGTTTGCACCTGTCCTAAATCTTGAATCTGATGTTCAGTAGTTGTCGTTTGTTGATGTGGTTCATAAGTGTTTCTCGTTTCTCGTTTTTATATAGACCGTTGGTTTTCCCGTTTGAATGGTTTTACACTAGTTATTTTTGGGGCCCTTTATAGCTTGCTGTTCGGTGTGAGCCAACGCTTCGTGTTGAAGACCGTACTTTTACCTATAATGGTTTACTTTTATAAATTGTGACTTGGATGGAGAGTTGTCTCATTGGCAATCATACCACATCTTCTTATATCTATAGACCTTTACGAATTCCTAATATAAATAACGATATTATTCAGATTTCGTATTCCACATAGCAATACATGTAGTATAATGAAGTCTTGTGTTCGTATACCAGAATTATAGTTGCAGTAAAACGTTTATTATATTATATAGATGTTTAATGAAATCAATTGGTTTGGTATTCTTTGCAAGATAAATTTCAAAGTATTCCGGTTCGAACATGTAGTATAAAAATTTCACAGGCAACTTGTTGCTGAGTATTATTGATTTATTTTAAGTATAGTAACAATCTGAAATATGAGTACGAAAAATTGATATTTTTCTTGGGGAAAACTATGACCGGATTCATATTAAACTTAATAAATGAAACAGAACTTGTCATTTTAGACATATGTAAAAAAAAAAATCTTGTGTAATGAGGTTGAACTAAGTATCCAAATAAAAGAGAAGATAACAATTCCCATGTCGCAGTGTCGCTATTTGTGTCAGTTTGGCTTACATGAAACCAAAATGCAAATAATAACGTATACTTTAGTTTTATATTTCTTACCATTTCTGAATTTTAAGAAAAACAAAATAGAAACGATAGCAATCACTGAAACCATTCCTGATATTGAACCTATAATGGCATACAGTTTAAAGTTTGGTTTGTCTTCATCTGAAATAAGAAAAAAGTTAATGTAAATATTTGTCAGGAAACCAAATTGTAATAATTGCTTATTTTTAGTTACGGCAAAAAAATCGTTTCCGCAGAAATGGGACTTGGCCAAGGTAAATTTCCATTGTAAAAATGGTGATTAACAGCAAAGAAAAGTCATATAGTTTAAAACCAATATAATGTGTTTTTGGTGCAGCACTGAACAATATGTGTTAACAAATTACGATTGTAAGTTTTAGAACTCAGCAGTTAATGTAGCTTAATCAGAATTAAACCAAACAATACAACTCTTTAATTTACCGTAACGCAAGTACATACCACTAAATTTTGGTAAAAAAAAGTTAAGTACACTTTTCAAAAGTTAAATTCTGGAAGAAAAATGTGATGGACAACAGGACAAGGGTAAATCAAAATAAATGATTCTGCTGTTCGCTATATAAAATGAAAGTGATCCCCCGGCCACTAAGCAAGGTAAAAGTTCGTCGTCAACAATGTTTGAAGTACAAATGTATACATGTATACAACGTATCATTCAGAGGATTATGCGTCCTTTTCAAATTACAACGCGTTTTTAAATAAAAGTTATCTTAATGGCAGAAAAAATGCGACTACTAGAGTATCGCAATCATAAGAACTCGCATTCGGCTTGATGTTCTTTCTACACGTATCTGTATGCTGCTTTCCAAAAATCGCGATTATTAAACTCGCAGTTTTGTTCATTCTTTGAAAATTGCAATAATATATGCATGCAATAATTTCTGAATTTACAGTTAATGTTATGTGGGATTGTATAAAATGGGTCGTTGGGCGAATCAGATTCGGGTTGTAACGTAAATACCTGTGCATATGTCTATTTTCTGAAGATAAAGTGGATATGCGTTTGGTCCAACTTTGCAATTCAAAGTTAGATTTCCTTTACAGATACTCCCTATTGGTGAAACAAGGTGTTGTATGGCTACTCCAAAAAGTGTTAAACCACCTTCATCTTGTACTTCTTTCACGGAGATATTTGCTGACAAAGCGTTTTCCTAAAATTACATGATAATAATTTTAAGGAATTAACAGAGAAAACCAAAAGTTTGATTTAAAATAATTTAATTTTGGATGTAACACATCTTCTGATTGACCGTGACGTGTGCACACTTTTAAATAACTCGCTAAGCGGGTTATTCAGTGTGCACAACATTTTTGCTATTATTTCTTCATGGACAGAAAAAAATATAAATGAGATTTCCGATTTAACAATTACTCTGGCGAATACTCTGGTTCTTGCGTGAACAATCAAAATAAGGAATATAGGAGAAAAAATATCGCCCTATTGAATGCAACACGACACAGAGAAAGCTCACGATTGCTCAGAAACATTAAAATAAAAAATCCTGGATAGATATCTGCTTTATTGGAATTTAGCCTTGCTCAAGTATTTAAAGTATGTATGAGAACGATAAAGATAAGGTTAAATCTATGATTGTTACGCCTAAAGTGCATGTGTATTAAAAGATAGTAAGCAACAGTAATATAGTTCCACTGACAAAAACTCGGAAATGGTAATATGCGTATCTACAGAGCGTACAAGAGCAAGCTGAGGTAATATGTGAAAAGGGAGACAACTGTTATCATTTCGCTTATAATTATTTCATGAGTTATTTCACTTGACCGGACGGTATTTAACCGGTTCGCTTATCATAGACCAGTCCATCTATAGACAAGAGTTTTGGGATAAACTCATCAATGAAGTGTCCAGTTATGGTCATTGATCCAGTAAATTCTCCGTATAGTAGCCTCGCTAACCAGTTTAGCTTCTGCAGTTCTCTTTGAAAAGGCATTTACTGGAGTGGCCGTTGCTGAATGAGCGACTCGAAAAACTTATGTAAACTATTTCTTTTGACTGAGAGGAAAGCATCTTCTACGTTCTGCCATGATTCGTAATACAGAAGATTTACCCGAACTAGCAGGTGTTCTTAAATAGAAAATCTAAGAAGCAGTAAAACATACAGATCGATAGCTCGAATAATACAAAAGCCGATACCTCAAAATACTTAGCTATATCACATATAAATGCTATCAATTTTAAACTATTTTATTCGTCCCATATCATACACTGAGTTCTTTTGTATATCCGTTTTGTGACATTGATAGGTGATTAGAAATCAGTAATGATAATTATATCGACAATCATCCTTATCACACATATCTTCAAATAGACTGTCTTTATGCAAATTAAAACATAAGCTCCGTCCGATTCAGTTGAAAAAATGAAAATAATAGCCTTCATTTTATTTGAATAAAGGCGGTTTTTCAAGAAAGTTTTATAAAAAAAAACCCTAATTAATCTTTAGTGTGATGAGCTGGTAAACTAATAAAATGATGTTTTTCAAATTTGTGGGGTTTTGTTTGGGGCAGGGGATATAGGTGATACTTAATATATCCGTTGACGGACTTGGTTATAAATTTACCAAAATGCCGTTTTTTATGAAACCTTTTTTTCGGCAAATTTGGCATAAAAAGTTATGACTCTCATTTTGGCTCGGAATGCTGATTAAAACTTTCTTTTTATTGTGACGTATTATAGAGAATTATCATTTAAACCGTTGTAAACCCTTGAGGAAACAAAGATGCATTATCGCTCGCAATAATATCAGAATACGTGGTCACCTGCTACATGTCATTTTTGATTAAACTGTGATGTTTGATTATATTAGCATTCATTTCCAAAATATTTTGTTTTCTGTTTAATAATGCACTAAATGCAAAGTATTTGTCTCGATGTACCTCAAAAAGGACTGTGCAATTTGGTAAGGGAGAAACTGCAATCAAAACATCTATTGAGATTTTTCTGCCAATCCTCGTTAAAGTGTTTACACGTAATCTAGGTGGATCTGGAAGTAAGAGTTTAAAATTAAAAAAATAATACCGATAAATAGCAGTGAATTTATCAGTACTAAGTAATAGGTCGAATAAGTTAAGACACGATAAATTTATACATAATGCCTAAGCTGTACTAAAATGCTCACATAATAACAACCACACAAATACAATTGGTTAAAATTAAAACGGCACAAATTCCTCTCCCATTAACTATATAATAGCTTGATACCCTAGTTCATGGATGTATGTAGGTCATATATATATTTTTGAGAAAAACACAGATAATACATATCATATAAACAACATATGTTGTGAAATACGATATGAGACGTTTAGCACACAAAATTTAACTCCATTTCCATAATTCAAATTAGTACAATGGACGCCGTCTTCGAATGTTTCGATTGGTCTTAGTCTAGGACTTGGATATACTATAATGACAAATATGTTCCATTAATAGTATCTTTGTCAGAGCTTGGCATAGATATGTATTCATTGTAGTTGTTCGTTCTATTTTGTCCTAGGAGAGAGCTGACTGTCCTTTTATAAAGACAAATATAAAGTAAGAGTTGAAATGGTCACTCTATTAGACAATTGTCTTATCCATTTATGCAGAAGATAAAAAAAACCAAACATCTGGTAGTGCCTGTCCCAAATCAGGAGCCTGCAGTTCGGTGATTGTCGTTGTTTCATGTCTGACATATTTGTTTTTCGTAAATTGTTTTGTTATAAATTAGGCCGTTATTTTTCTCAATTGAAATGTTTCATATTTTTCATGTCGAGCCATTTATAGCCTCCTTTACGGTATGGGTTTTTCTCGTTGTTGAAGGCCTTACGGTTGCCTATAATTGCTTACATCCACTTCATTTCAACTTTGGTGGATAGTTGTCTCATTGGCAATCATACCACATCTCCTTATTTTTATATTAACTGATGTCATGTATTTTTACAACTACGTAATGTTTACCTACATATAAGTTCTTCGACTGTTAACATATTGGTGTATTGTTGGAATCCACAGGTGCAGGTATATTCACAATTAAGATCGGTCAAATTAAAGTCTTTTATCGTCAAATCAAAAGTTGTACCATTTGATGTCATTTCATATTTTGAGGGATTCTTTGACTGATCATCAAAGCAGAGAAGATCGTAGTTTTTTCCTCCTAGCCATGTTTTGGTGTTTTGAGGACAATTGTTACCATTACACGAAAGTCTTGCTTCCATTCCTATTACTAATGGTTTTGACTTTATTTCCCATCTTACTAAAAGAAAAATATACATAATATTACATAATTTTATAAATTTGTAAGATGTTATTTAAGAGATAACTGTATTGTATTTGAAGCTTTGCGGACGTCCATCGGTAGTTTTACTGTCGCAAATTTAGTTTACCTGGCGACGCGTTTTTTCTTCTTTTTTTTCCTGTGACAGTAGACCTATCAAACGATTGTTTTAATGAACAAGTAAGTTTAATATAAAAAAGAAGATGTGGTATGATTGCCAATGAGACAACTCTCCACAAGAGAAAGTTTCCAGGTTAGGAGAGGGTTGAACGTTCACAAACATGTTAAACATATGTGCCTGTCCAAAGTCAGGAGCCTGTAGTTCAGTGGATGTCGTTGGTTCATGTCTGTCATATTTGATTTTCGTAAACTGTTTTATTATTTTATTATAAATTAGGCCGTTAGTTATTTCTTCTGAATTGTTTCTTTTTTTTTCATGTCGGGGTCTTTTATAGCCGACTATACGGTAGTTTTTTTTTATTCTCATTTTTGAAGGCCGTACGGTTGCCTATAATTGCTTACATTCACTTCATTTGAAATTTGGTGGATAGTTGTTTCATTGGCAATCATACCACATCTCCTTATTTTTTTATATAAGTGTCATATAATACTTCAAACATCCATTTTAAAAAAAGATATCTTGAAATAGACAAGAAATGTTAATGTCATGATAGGTTGTAAAATCATGTGAACACTTTTTTAATATACACGCTGAACGGTCTATCCCTCTGGTTTTCTATGATGTTGCAGCACGAATGTTGCTATCTGATCTTTAAGCAGTCTTGAACAGTCTCTACAGATTGATGAAAGTGCTAGACACTAAAAGACATTTACTATCTATTATATAAAAATCAACACGTGTAAAAGCTTGAAATTTCAAAAGAGGTCACAGAGAGAACACTTGCGTATAATTCAAAACACGCATTTCTTGAATATTAAAATCGGTATCAATGTTTATAATGCAGCTTAATTTTAGTAGAATGTTTGCATTTTTTTTATTATTACATGTAACTGTAAGATTTTCTATTATAAAAAAGAAATTATAGCAAGAATTCATCAATGACATGTTCATGTGTATATTACAAGCAGAAACGTCACCCTTCCGGAACACCTGTGCTACTTTCATACGCAAAAATAAAAAAATTGAGCAAATTATACTAGATATGTATGGCATATAATTGTGTTCTCTAAAAGCTGGAAATTAAGTACATACATGTATAAACTAAGAAAGAATGCATACCCGCAGTAATATACAGAGTAGTAAACGAAATACATATTTCAATAACTCACTTAGTTTAAAGAATCTGAAATCGTGTGATTATGAATAACGATAACTTGATGAAAAGGCAAAAAAAAACAACATTTCAAAACATTTCAACTTAAGGTTGCACGACACAAACCCAGTATAAAACGTTTGAGAGCTTTTGTACCATTAAACAGAGTTTATAAAAAATAAAAAATACGATATGAATGTTAATGATATAATAACCCAAGACTCAATTGTTAGTTTTCAATTGAATATAGAATGTGATGAAAATATCAGTGAAGCAACACGTCAGCAATATAGTGTCCGAATTGAATTATATAAACGTAACAACGGATAAGAAATCCTAAATCAGATTTACAACACTACTAGTCAAAACATTTTAGCAAATAACAATTTTAAAGATTTCCAAGTAACACGACGTTCCATACTATGTTAAACATAATAAAGGTTGGCGAAGAAAAGACAATTTTGCAAAAACTAAATGTTATACCAAAAGGTTCATGTGAGTGGACAGTATAACAAAGTCAATTATGTGTATGCATTTAAATCACTTGTCTAATGAGCTTTAAACACTATTCACAAATTCATTGATTTTTCCTAGAAATTGTATTAAATATTAAGTTACCGATAAGAGTTTTTTCCCAAAAATTCTATGTATTCATTCATTGGTATATGCAATTGATCTTGTTATGCGTGTCGGATATCTATATCATTGAACCGAGGAAAACCAGCTTATTTTGCTATTTTGTTTCTGGTTTTATTTATCATTACTGAATTGATGTCCTGTTACAAAATCCACTACGCATGTCCGTTTCACATAAGTGTTGAATAAGGAAAAGATTGTAATATAATGGTGTGTCTTCTTCTGACAAAAATCCAACGAACTAGTTTGATTATGGCTTCTCCATTATAAACTGTACTACTTGTAAACTACCTACTGTCGTATACCGTCAGTTTAAACACTTAACTCGTTCTCTTATTACGATGTCGTATTAATTGGCTTTGGTAAATTAGATAAATATGGTGATACCAATGACGTTAAGTTGATTGGCACAAAGATCAACAAAACAAACAGACAATAATTAAGCGTGAATGTTATATCATGTGTTAAAAATTGTAATATTTGTAATACATTGTAACTGTTCTGTATTCATTTCGGGTGATTTTGAAGTTCATGAATTGTAAATTTACCAAAATGAAGCAATAATGATATTTATGTCACCAAAGGAATGGAGTAAGGACAAAGAAGCTAGATTTCCTTCGAGGACGAAACATCCATAAGCTGGCATTAGAACGGTATTTTTCAATAAGTGATTTAAAACTATTTGTTTGGGATAAAGTGGTGTTTGGATATCGAATAACAATTGGTCTGATTGCAGTTCAAACAGAGGGTGCTCACTAAACCGACAGTTCATAATACACACATATGCGATTTAAGAAAAAATGCTCCTTACCTGATGCCTCATTAATGGTAAACATGAGGAAGAAGATGACTGTACAGGAATACATGGTATACGATGCTTTACAATACATCCTACAAAATGTGTATTTAATATATATATCATAACGCTCAGTCATGACCATATCTAGAGTTATGATAAAAGAATATAATTATTTTGAAATCAAAATTAGATCTTTGCAACTTAAATAAACTATTTACACATGTACAGTCTTTTTAAAATCCCCAATATACGGCAAATACTGTTTCCTATTTTAACTGACCATAAAAGTATTTAGAAGTTTTCTTATATTATGAAAAGTACAAAATTAACAATTATGTTTGTTTTTGATTATGCAGAAAGAATGAATCAGTAAGTTGCAAAAAAAGTATTTTTAACTTAAAAGATAATGAAACTTATGGTAGCTTAATGACAAAATAGGTTAGTTGTTAAAAGTATAATTATCTAAACAAATATGTCTCTCTGTTTCCTGCTTAATTGGAAAATTCCAAAAACTTCTACTTAACATGCACACATTTCCTCCTTTCAAGAAATGACAATTGACATGAAAATCCCCAAAAAACAATGTTATCAAAATGTCAATAATAGTATTGATGATAAGACTTAAAAGACACTAAAATTATGTTCATCCTAAAACACACATTCGAAATCATTACCCTATAAGTACAACAATCAATCAAACTAATTCATAACTTTAAATAAAGTACAGTTCCACGAGAAGTTGGTATACATAAGTGCCATAGGAACATTCCAATTCCAAAACTCAAAAAGACTTTAAGATTGATAAATGTATATTGTATATATATATTGATATATATGAGTAAAAAAAACCCGTTATACTTAAAAGGCTTCAATATTGATTGTATATAAGCAGTTGCGAGTAGAAGGCCATTAATGTTGCCGATTAAACAGTTGCTGGACGTGTATTCAACCTGATGAACTTTGAAACAGATGTAATTGTAAATTTTAACATATGTGCCGAAACGATTTTTAATTAAAAAAAATATCTCTCCCTTGAATAAATAAAGGCAGAAGTACATATACTGTTTTAATAAATACTTTTGAGTTTTTGATATACACATGTAACAATAAATGAACAAAATAACATAACATAACAAACCAGCACAATTCATCATAATCGACTATTCTAATCTATATAAAATGACATACAGTCCCTGTTTTACTTTTCTACAATAAAAATGAAAATTTCACTTTTGTTTTCGTTATTTTTAATACAGTATTCAGTTTGGTTTAACTGTGTATCAGATTGTATCAGATTATTGCTGAAGGTGTAGTTAAATTCCACATATCGCATATGTGGAAGTAGCAATCATTACCACAAGGTTTAAACTTACCTGTCAAATATATTTAATGCTTTTTAGTCACAAACGAGTGTAATATGTTTAAATGACCGTTTTGTTAAATAAGTGCACTTATCTAGTGAAATTTGTTCTATTTTTAACTCAATTACATTGGAAAACCAAACCTTATCTAGAATGACGGATAACAATTAATAATTAATATTGATAAAATAAGATCATAAAGCGTAACACATATTGTTGACATGAAAAGACGACTCCAATTAGAACCAAGGCTTAAGCAGGCTCAAACAAACGAAAGACTGTTCTATTGTTCTCGCTTTACAAGATTTACACTTCCTTTTTGTATTTTGTTATGACTTCTTTACATTTTTGCACAATGTAAAGAATTGTCAGAATTTATAGATTTCATGAAAACATATTTATTCAAATGAGTCATTGCATATTCCTCAAAATCTATACATCGGGAATTATTTTTTGATAAACCAAATCAAACACTTGAATCTATTTTCAGAAAACTATTCATAATGTCGTCAAGGAAGGTTTGGTTTCATAAAAACAAATTGAGAAATTTCATCCGTTCTATATTTATTTATTTGATTTTTATAAAATTATTACCGGTATTCTATTTAAAGCGAATAAGTTGGATACGTGCTAGATGATATCATAAACGATTAGTATCCACTTTAGTAAGATATAAGCCACTATTGATCAATTTTGTAAATTATCGTCGTTTTCTAATTAATCAACAAAACATTAGAAGTGTGTATACACTATTAAAATTTCGGCAAACATGGTACTTGTACAAAATTTGGTTAAAAGCTTGAATATACCAAGCTACCTACCTACCTACCTACCTATCCACCTACCTACCTACCTACCTACCTACCTACCTACCTACCTATCCACCTACCAACCTACTACCTATCGACCTTCCTACTACCTACCTACCTATCTACCTATCTACCTTACCTACCTACCTACCTACCTACCTATCTGGTGGTGGACTGGACTCATCAGATAAGTGCCTTGGTTGTGACATGATTATTGATGAATCCTTCTTATATTCTCTACTGATAGATTTCGAAATCATTTAGGCACGAAGGTAATACTTTCTATTGGGCAAATTTTACCCAATGTGGATTTTTTATCCTTTTTTGTTATATAGCTCATCGTGTATCAAGGTATTATGCTGGGCTATCAAATATCGAAATACTTAGGCTTTCTACCCGAAGGAATAGATAACCTTAGCTGTATTTGGCAAAACCTTTCGAAATTTTGGGACTTTAATGCTCTTTAACTTCGTACTTTATTTTTCCGCTTTAACTTTTTTGATTCAAGCATCACTGATGAGTCTTTTGTAGACAAAAAGAGCGTCTGGCGTACAGAATATTAATCCTAGTATCTATAACGAGCTTATTTTTAGGGTTGTTTGTTTCATAATAAAGTAAATCCATAAAAGCGCTCTTTGGTCGCACGAAATCTATAAAGTGATATTTTCGTTTTCTATCACTTGGTCAACAAATTTGCTGCTGGTGGCCTGTTTGTCCCCGAGAGTATCATAAGGTCAAGAGTAAGCTTCGATGTTTACTTTATTCTTAAAATACCCTTCTCAGATTGTCAGTGGAGAATAAAGAAACTGTTAAGAAGCTTGAGTTCCAATTCCTTCAGGCAAAGTTGACCTTACCAGGATTTAGCTATTCTGCACTACAAAAGTCAAAAAGTCTGAAAAGACCAGTTTTTGTCTGAATTTGCATGAATTTTTACTCGACATTCTTAATTTGTCTGAATAATTTTTAAAAATTCTTGACACAGTATGAATTTGTCTAATAAGGTTCTTGATTTTTCTTGACAAGTGTCTTGACAGTATGAACATTGTCTTAAAATTTCTCGACACTTCCTGTATCATCTGATAAGAGTCTGGATTAGTCTCGACCAATTCTTGACTGTCTTAAATTTGTCTCGATCTGTCTTGACATATTCTTGACATTCTTAATAATGTCTGAATATGTCTCGACATATTCTTGACATTCTAAATAATGTCTGAATATTTCTCGACACATTCTTGACAGTCTTAAATATGTCTTGACACTATCTCAACAGTATAAATTTCGCCTGAAATGTGAACAGACTTATTCTGCACTGTTTATGACATTCTATTGCTGTTATAATACTCCTTTTTATTATGGCTAAACTAAACTTTGAAGAATCAAGGATTAATTTGGTATAGTAAGATACCCTTTTGGTGCAACTAAGTTGGAATACCGTGAATAATCCCCCATGTAGTTTAATTTTGATTTATTTTTATTAAACATTTAAGTAATTGTTTTCACTTGGAATATAAGTCGAAGGTATTGACAAACAGCATTTAGATTTTTGCCGTTCGCAAAACTGCCAGTCAAATTTGCTTTACTAAAATAGGTGTCTTGTATCTCTTTTGGACCCCACAATTCATCTTTTGGGTTTGTGTGGCTAAAAAAAGAGGGGGGCTTTCGTTTAGGTCAAAGAATTTGTTCCCATCTTGATTCAAAAACCTTATTCATTTTTTAGAACAACCCAAAAACATTTTTTATTCAAATTTGACATGTTTGAGTGTTGAAATTTATAATTTTTTATCAAAAATAAATATTTGTGATAACTCCTTCCTGAAAAGAAAAAAATGTTTAGATCTATATTATGCATGTCTGTTTGAGAACCATTTCATAAGACCGATGAGATGATTTCTATAAAATCATTGATGGGACCCATTATAAATACATATTTTTTATTATTCTTGGAGTAGATAATAAATTTCTTTTAATCTTTGGGAATTATTCAATTTGTTTTTATGTTAAAATAATTAACTTCATAATTTTGATGAAGAAAATCCATTTCAATTCAATTTTTTTTCATCAAAATGATGATTTTCATTTTCATCTATCAACAAACTTTTTAAATTGTAGTGGCATGGTCGGTCAACTGATAAGTTGTATGGCTGATTACAGGTAAAGCAATAACTTCTATTTGACAGTTGCGTGTACTCTGGGGTGTGGAATACCTTAATTTTATGGGGAACATCCTGTCCATGTGTAATACTTAATATATTCCAACAGATGACATTACACAAATTTTTCTTCTGTTAAATGAATGATTTGTATATCATCATAATTTGCTATTTATATAAACCACATTTTGGTATAATAATTATTTACCATATCAACATTGAATATTATGAATGTAGAATGAAATATGTCTACAGTATGATTGGTTTGAATTATTTAATTTATAAGATTTAGGAATCAAAATTTGTAATTATTTAAAAACCCACATTGAAATTGTTTTATATCAACACACCCACATTTGAATTATTTTATACTTTAGATTTCATAGCCATATTTGCATTTGTAAAAATATTTATATACCCAAATTTTCAATTATTTTACATGCCCAACTTTTATTTTTGTTGTAAAGAAGTGTAACTTGAAACAACAGTATATCATATAAAGAGAAATAAAGATTAAAGTTATATCATGAATATTGTTCATGATTTGTAAAACTCAGAACTGTCAAGTAAATTTAACACACGATTCAAAATGTTCAGAATATGTCAAGCCATACTGAGAAAAAATAAGAATGTCGAGAATATGTCGAGAAATTTCAAGACAGTATTCAAATGTCAAGAATTTGTCAAGAAATTTTAAGACCATATTCAGAATGTCGAGAATATGTCGAGTAAATTTCATACAAATTTAATATAAATGAGAATTTGTCAAGAAAAATTAAGACACAAGTCATACTTTTGGAGAATGTCGAGTAAAAGTTCATGCAAATTAAGACAAAAACTGGTCTTTTCAGACTTTTAGACTTTTGTAGTGCTGGTTAGGTCCCTTTTTTTGGTCATCTAGTTCGATTCTCAATATCCAAACAGTTCCGATCTAAACAAGAAAATCCCGTTAAAAGTCAACCTGATGTAATGATCAATGTGATGTCATGATCATACTAAATACTAACAATGCTTAAAATATTAAAATACAAATTGATCGTCGTCCGCTTTAAAAACACAACTGCTTCTGTATACCTTTGTAATCGTTAAAACAAAAAATTTTATTTCCAAATTTTGAAATCAATTATGCCGATCTATAGAGGAAACTTTTTCTGAGAATTAATGTCAATGTCGTCTAATGAAGCAGAAATTCTCACAAACTCCTTAAACAACTTTTCAATGACCCTTTATGGTTGTCCTTTAATACGTTAAATTCTACCCCAAGGGTGACTTGGGAATAGACATATGGCCACTCTTGGCTTTCTTCCCTTTCTAAAGTGAGGCGTCTGTTCGGGTGTCCGGGATGTAAAAATATGCAACTACGTCCGGTCAAAATTGGGGGCTACAAATCCGATGCCTCATGTTGAGAGAGTGCAACGCTCTCTGCACGTGAAAGGACCGTTTTAATACGTTTTTTATGAGATTGTAGGTAGCCTCTTGCAAAGGAAAATATTTGCCCTCTATCCAGCAAACCATTGTTTTCCAGTGGTATTCAACTTTTTGAAGTAGACACCCATTACAAGACCTAGCTTTTGTTTTTTATAAGTTAATTTGTTTTCGTCCTCAATCTGCATGAAATATTTCCTACCGGTCGTGAATCAAACAACAATCACTCAATTGATTAATCAAAATTGTTTTGTTAGTATTTATAGTACTTTTAATATTTTTTTTTTCTAGAATCTACCATCTACTATATTTGAATATCTTCTTTATATCAACAGCGCATCTAGAAGTCGTTTGGACTCCGTGTGTAAATAGTAAAGTATAATATAATTATATTTTCTTATTTCTGTATTGAATGAAGATAACACTTTATTAAATATCAGTCAGCACTGTGGTTAAACGGCTGTGGGTAACTTAAGTTACCCAGAGCCCAAGATGGCGGTCTCTAAACTCGTTGATATATAATTGATACAAAATCTACTTTTTGCGACGTTTTTCATGCACTATGTAAATATTTATAGGATTCTTGAATAAAGAAATCACTTACCATTACCATAAATTTGTTAATTTTGAGTTCATTTTAGCGCAAGGCCAACTTTAAAAAATGCATA